AATGTATATACAGCATAATTTAAATTAATAATTATGTATAAGTTTAGTTTTATCTCTAATCACATTTATTACCAGAATAAAATTTAAATCTAATTACCAGAAATAAATATGAGATGCCAAGCATAAATTCTAGTTCTAATATTTTTAAATAAAATATTCAAGAATTTTTATAGATGAACGTTTTTATACGTGACCAATGATTTTTTGGACCTTGGCTTTCCCGTTTGCTGCTAGCGAAAAATCCAGATTTTTTTTTTCGGAGCACAATCATCTCTGCTCTTTGGTAGTAGTGGGTAATTTTTTTCAATTGTTACAGATTGAGTTAGCTTCAAAAAAAAAATAATTTTTGAGTAATCCAGAAGTCAGTATTTTTTGTAAAGCTATCTTAGCTTTTTCGGGTACAAATTTCATTCACTATATACAGGGTATCTGCGCACCTGGAAAGTCGTGAATTCGCTGAAAAAATCAAATTTTTTAAACGGAATTTAAAAATACCCCCATTTTATGGTGTTCCGAATATCTGAATTTGTAATAAAATCCCTACTCACAGTCATATTTTATTAAAATATAATATGTTTTTACCCTGTTCTTTAAAAATAATGGCATTCCTTCAAAAATGAAAGAAAAAACATCATTTCTAGAGCAAATTATCTTTTAAACTTCTGTGATTTTAGAATTTTTGTTATTTTTTTTTCATTTTATCAATTTAAATTTCTAGCTGAAGCAAGCCAGTCATTGGTGATTTTTTTAAATTCCGAAATGAGAACAGAAAAATCAGGAGTATTTCTTTCCTTTTGGATGAACAAGAAAAGTTTCTGTAGAATATAATTTTGCAAAAAAAAAATTCTTTGCTTTTGTATTTTTTCCAGCTATTTTATTGCTTCAACTCTTTCCATACTGTTTTTTTTTTTTTTTTTTTTTTTAAANTTGAAAAAGTATCGCTACGTACTGTTTTTTTTTTTTTTAAATTTTAAAATCTTTAAATATAACGATGCAAAGTATAATAGTTTTGGTTATACCTATCATTTCAATTTCTGTTATTATAATACTTTTTTAAATTTCTTGTTGTGTTTTTGTCGGAGAAAATAGTAACTTCGTTAAGTCATGAATTTGTGGCAGATACCTTGTACATACATAGTTTATTTCACATTAAGAGCAAGTGAGAATTTAATCCTGTTACATAGCTGCAGTAAAAGAAGTTAAATTAATATATTGATAGTAAAAGTTCAAAACAAAATTCAAGCAGAATCGTGAAATAGGGAGATGTAAAAATGTCTTGAAAAAATTGTTTAAATACATCACCTTTTGAATTTTTAGTACAACTTTTAACTTCTAGAGAAACCACCCCTGCCTCTCCCTCTTCCTCTATTACCACCTCGACCACTGAAATACAAATGTAAAGGTTTGTAATTATACTATGCATTTTTAAAAAGAAGAACAGCATTAAACTAAATAATGACAATAAGACCTTACAAGTTCGTTTTGATAAATAAGTCAGTACTAGATTTTTATTAACGAAAAAAATAAATGTATCAAAGGGGCTTAATACACAGAATTGAAGGTTCAATAGAGGTAATTTAAAAGTCCTTTAAAAAACACAAACTATTCTTTTATCAGCACTATTATTTAAGCCACTATTATTAATTGTTCAACAGGATTTATATTTATTAATTTCATACACTTGCAAGAAGACAAAAAAAAAAAAAAAAAACTTTGTGACATNAAATGGCTTTAAAATACAACGGAAACAGTAACCTGGAAATTAAGGCGGTACCGAGCTCGCAGCGTTTCCCTAGTGTAAAAAACACCATCCATAAATGCTGCTGTCACAATTTTTTTTAATTTCACACATTTGAAATTCAACATGAAATAAAAATGGTCCTTTCTACATGTCAAATTTCAACCCTTCAGTTGCTGAGTGGCTCATAGTTTATTTTTATACTAGGTTAACAGTTAATAATTCTAAAATTAACAATGAAATATTAATATTTTCCTTTTGTAGTACCCTCTGTGCAATTTTTTTTGACACATATTAATAATTTTAAGTTTCTAAGAAAAAGTATACTACCACAAAAAAAAAGTAAAATTGACAAACACTCAAAACAGTTCCACTATTGCTCAAGAGCTTTTAATATAAAAATATTACTGTTTCAAAAAATAATTCACAAACCATTCAAAATCGGTCTTCTCATTAAATAAATTTAATTATTATGTTAAATCTACGTATATGAAAACATAAAAAAAAAGAGAAACTTTTAACACTATTGAGCAATCTTTACATTTACACACAGGCACAAATATTTTCGAATTGAAAATCAAATCATTTTCATAATTTTAAAGATCAAACAGATTTATTAATACTTACCGTCCAGGAAATCTGTTTCCAGTATTTCCTCCTCTTTTTCCAAATTTGTTAGAAAATGAGTTGTTTACCATTGTGCTTGTTGGAGGAGCAGAACTTGTTATCTGAATTTTCATAGCTCGCCCTAGACGGAATAATCAGAAAAACCCAAACTTTAATAAATACAACTAAACTGAAAAAATAACCTTTTTCTTTAAAATCAAATTTTAATTAAAAAAAATTCTTCAGAATTTTATGCAGAAAGAATGATAAAATCTAGATAATTAAACTATTAACATAACACGAATACTTCTTTTTTTAAATTTTCATATAAATTGATAACATTATTTTTTAATGTAATAAAGTTCAGTGATAAAATTTTTAGCCTTATTTTTCCAAAAAAATATCCTAAAAGCCAATCAGGATTAATTGCCACACAAAGTGAAAAACCCTGAATATTTTATGAGCAAAAAATCAATATATAAACCATACACGTTTCATATTTAACATGATTTTTTGAACAGACATTTTTAATAGATTGCTTAATATTGAAGAATATCACACCTTTATAGAACTAATTCAAGAAAAAGCACATTTTTTTCAAGTATCACGATATGGGATTTTTAAGTCTGGTGAATATGAATCCCAATGCGGAGTTTTTAAATTGCGAACAAATACGAAATTCTACGCATGAAAACAAATTGCAATATTAGATTTTACAAGACACGCGAATATGCAGCGCAATATACAATTTTTAAATCAGGCGAATACAAAGAATGAATAGTGCAGTACCAAGTATTCAAAATGACGAAAATAGAATCATGTATGTAAACATCTTGATAGTGGGACTTAGCAAAAGCTTCAAAATCTCGTCTGATTATAAGTTTTTGAATTGAGGAAAAAAATTACACACCCTGCTTTCAGTTTTTAGACCTACAAAAATTAGTAAAAGGAGCGAAAAGGCGCAAGAATGCCAAAAAATCATATCATTTTGCCTTAAAATTGTATTTTTGGAACAAGACGAAAAAAAAAAGAAACAAATATGATTTATTTGGAACAAGCAACAGCTTTGTAATGTGATTTTTATAATACATATAGCAAAGTGCCATTTATAAATTAAAAGCACAGGGTCTGTCCAGGGCAAATTTACTACTAGCCGTACCTTCACAAATTCAACTTTAGGAAATTTCACAAAATCCTTTTAAAAAAGTAAGTTTTAAGATTCTCCTCCCCGCCCCTTAAAATTCCATTTTTGTATCCTCATAAGAAATGATATTTATATACTCGTTTATTTTTTTCTTTTCTCGGAATAAAAACCGATTAAAGCAAGAAGTTCGTGCACTCTATTAATCAATTTCAAAATGCACGAATTTTGGAAAAAAATGTAGTCTTTTGCCATTTGAATAAAATAAGTTTCACATTTCTTCCTTGATCTTTCATTATTTTGAACATCGGTCCTTGCTATCTAGCTTCCCTATTTATCAGTATTGTTCAGAACCGGTGCGAACAGCAGATCACACCCCCCCAAACCACGAACCTGTTTCAGAACACATTTCTCTGCAACTACATGTTCACCATAGGTAAGGTTTCTTCATGTAAGACGTTTAAATTTTTTGTGCATGAATGTAAGATGGACAAATATCTTATTAAGGCGACATCTTCTACTCCGAAACGGACAAATGAAAATGAAACGTATGTCGGTAGAAACGGTCAAAACAAATACGGATATTTTTCAGCCAAATAAATACAATAGCCGATGAAAAAGTAGATATAGAAC